ATATACTGGCTGAAGTCAGTTTGCACGCACCTGGAGATGCCTACGGCCAAGTAAATTGAAGCCGCTGATAGCACGCGGAAACCACATTGTCCGAAACTTTTCAATAATAGTGGACACATTTCTTGAGAAACGATGAACGAACGTGCGAAAATGTTTATTACTTATAAAGTTCGACAGCAGGGCCTGCCTTACGCTGAGGAAATACCTAACAAGGGTATTCCCCGACGAAGGCAGGTCTTCCTGCCGAAACGTTGAAAGTAATACACATTTTCGCACTTTTCAACCGTCACCGTTTCACAACGCAATAGAAAGCACTGGATTCGCAGAATATTGATCGATATGTGGGATTTTAACGTCCCAACACGACTATATGATTATGAGAGACGCCGTAGTGGAGGGCTCCGGAAATTTGGACCACCTGGAGTTATTAAAGTGCACCCAAATCTGAGCACACAGACCTACGACATTTTCGCCTCCATCGAAAGTGCAGCCGCCGCAGCCGGGATTCGATCCCGCGACCTGCTGGTCAGTAGCCGAGTACCTTAGCCACTAGACCACTGCGGCGGTTTTTTGATTCTTTAAAAATATGTATATATATATATGTATATATATATATATATATAGATATATATATATATATATATATATATATATATATAATATATATATATATAATATATATATATATATATATGCTCACAGCTGGTAATTTTTTCATGCACTTTTCTTTCTTCTTTCTTCTTATTTACATTCCTTGGCATTACTGTCTGTTATATCTCATTATTATTGTGTTAAAACACGAAAATACGAGCCCTTAGGTATACACTTCTCTCCTTATTTTATATATATATATAATATATATATATAATATATATATATATATATTATCCTGACGAAGGCCGTGCCATGGCCGAAACGTAGAGTAAACAATTATCAAAATTTCGTAAGTGTGCTCCTTTATTCTTAATTATATATATATATATTATATATATATATATATATATATATATATATATATATATATATATATATATATATATATATATATATCTTTAAGAATTGCATACTTAGGGCGCGTTTTGTGTGTTTTGACACAATATAAATGAGATCTAACAGACAATAATGCCAAAGACTGTATAGGAGAAGTTATTAGACCTAATTGTAATGTAAATTGGAAGAAATAATGTTGGTGAAAACATGACTTGCCGTGAGCAGGAACCGAACTTGCAACCTTCGAGTAACGCGTTCGATGCTCTACCACTGATCTACTACGACAGCTATCCCCCCAGCCACTTTATTAGGTATTTATGTCAATTTAAACGTGGGAGTGTCAGTCAGTGACACCTATAGCCATGGAGGCGAGTGTGGCACACTTTTTATGAGCCTATTGGCGTCACGTAGCACGTTAACTTAATACAAGCTGACAGCTGAAATAGTTCAGTTCAGTTCAGTTTTATTTCCTTAAAGGCCCCCATTCAGGGGGTGTTACATAAGGGGTGGGATTACAATTCAAAACAGCGGAGATTCAATTAACATTGCAAACAAAAAATTGAATTAACATGGCAGATGATCGGTGAGGCGTTCCAGGAAGGTAGATGATGAGGCAATTGTGACAATGTCGTAGGGCAGGCCGTTCCAGTCTGAAGCTGCTCTGAGGAAAAACGATGCAGCAAACGTAGTGGTGCGTGATGGCGGGCGGGCAACTTGAAGTGAATGACTGGTGCGGTGGGAAATGCGTGAGGCGGCTGTTATATAAGGAGCTTGATTGAGTGAAGAATAAAAAAACTTATGATAAAGAGTTAGGCTAGCAATGCGGCGACGATAAGAAAGGAGTGATAGGCCAGATTCATGCTTCAATGGTGAAATGCTGATGTCATATGAATATGAGGAATGGATGAAACGGGTGGCCCGATTTTGAACACCTTCCAAGGCAGTGATTAGGTATGCTTGATGGGGGCTCCAGATGGCAGATGCGTATTCTAATTTTGGTCTTATAAGCGATTTATACGCGAGTAATCTAACATGTGGTGGGGAAAGGCGAAGGTGGCGTTTAAGAAAACCCAGTGTTTTGTTCGATGCTGAAATGATGTTTGTAATATGGGCGCGCCATGATAAATTAGAACAAAGGGTGACTCCTAGATATTTATACGATTCTACTAATTCGATACATGATTTAGAAATAGAATACTGAAAGCGAGAGGGATTGTGACGACGAGAGAAGGACAAGAGTTTGCATTTAGTGGGGTTGAGAGTCATTAGCCAAATATTACACCAGTTTATTATATTGTTAAGGTTGCTCTGAAGGATGTGATGGTCATGACAATTAGTAATAGTATGATAGATTACGCAATCGTCAGCGAACATGCGAATGTTACAGAAAACATGCAATGGTAAGTCATTAATATATATTAGGAATAGGAGAGGACCGAGAACAGACCCTTGTGGGACGCCTGAGGTGACTGGGAGTGGTTTAGACAGGTGGCCGTTAAGATAGACAGATTGCGAGCGGTTAGTTAGAAACTCCTCAAGCCACCTGAAGATGTTAGGATGCAAGTTTAGTTTTGAAAGTTTCAGTAACAGACGCTGGTGAGGAACCTTGTCGAAAGCTTTTGCAAAATCAAGGAATATTGAGTCGGTTCAGATATTGCACTATAGTTACCCTTATCATAAAGAACAATTGTTTTATTAGTCGCCTGTTTTTTGGTCGAGGTAAATGAAAATAAAGCATGTATGACCTTGTGGTCGCTGATCTCAGGAAGGTAAGTAATAGATAATAGGTTCTCGGGGCTATTGGTTAATATCAGGTCGAGAATATTTGCTGATCCTCGTGTGACACGGTTGGTTGGGCGACTAATTGTGTAAGGTTAAAGTTGAGACATACATCGAGGAAGTTTTTCGCCTCTGCGTGACATGATAATGTAGAAGTAACTATGTTTTGCCAGTCAATATTAGGGTAGTTAAAATCACCGAACAGAAGAATGCGAGCCTTTGGGTAAGCGGAAGTAAGTTTTTGAATGGAATTGTTCAGATGACATGGAAAATTTGGATCCGTTTGCGGGGGCCTGTAGCAGACGCCAAGTAGGACAGTTATGGTGTTAGTACGACAAATTAGCCACAGGGATTCGGTATCGGCGTTAACAACGGAGCAAGATATGCCCCGATGAACTGCGATAAGTACTCCGCCCCCCCGTGAGCCATTTCGGTCATTTCGGTACACGTGGAAGTCCTGTAAGTCAGTTATATTTCCGCATCCGTTATATCGCTGGTAAGCCACGTTTCGGTTAATACGAGTATGTTGCTTTTTGATGACGAGATAATGTTAGATATGAGTTCACGTTTTGGAAGAAGGCTACGTATGTTAGTGAATATTACGGAAAACGAGAGAACATGACATGGGGAAGCCGTTTGGCGTTTTATTGCTCTTTGTTGGCGGGGTAACCACTATGCAATTTCCTTAACCATGTGTGATGATGCGTCAAATATATAGCGCTTCGACCCGACGTGCAGTGTTTTGAACCGCAAGGAGAACTTGTCCGAACGTGCTTTTGCAAATGCAAGTAATTGCTTGCGCGCATATTGAACGAGGCGGGAAAAATCCTCCCCGATGCTGTAGTTAGTGTTCTTCAGTTTCCTGCCGTTTGATAAAAGTGCATCTCTGGTTTTGTATGATAAAAATTTCACAATTATGGGACGATTTCGGTTTAGTGAATGAATACCGAGACGATGTGCGCGTTCTATGTCGTTAGGCTGCACTGTTAGTCCAAGGTTATTGTTGCAGATATCGATTATCATTTTTTCAGATTCAGCCCACGTTTCATTCCTAGTGGGGTCAGGGATGCCGTAGAATAGAAGGTTATTCCGGCGCGACCTGTTTTCAGCGTCATCCAGGGAAGTTTCTAGCTCTTGAATTTTTTTAGTCATGTTGATTACGTTAGCCTGTGTTTTTTCGATATCATTTCTGAGGGGAAGAAGAGTTTGGTAATGTGTTTCGAGATCGCCCATTCGTTTGTTTAAGTCTGTTATTCTTTTATCCGTTGTGCTTAGTTGAGATTTCAAACTCTGAACTTCGGCAATCAGCTGGGCCTGGCCGGCACTTAGCTTTTGTAGCTCAGTAAGAATAGCAGCGTTTCCGTTAGGGCCAGGATTAGTTTCGACGTCACCCGATAAGATCAGCAACGAGTGAATCATATGAGCACACTCAACAGCAATAGCAATACAGCAGTGGGGGCTCGGGAACTGCACCAGGAAGTAATTACTCGACTTTTTAGCGAAGAGGACATACGATTTACTAACCTGCATTGCAAAGTAAGTGGATTAGATGGCTGCATTGTGGTGCAGTCCCGAGCCCACGAAGTGGCGTCAGCGGGTGATGTTCCTTTATACTTGATGATGCTGTGGTTGATGACGATGCGGCCTTCCATAGCACGGTGATTTCCGGTGATAGTAGTTCCTCCGACGTAATATCCGGTGGGGACGAGCAGTTGGTGCGTAGTAGGCGGCAGGAGCCTGGCTCGCTTTCGGAGCCCGGCAGCACCAACATAGATGACGCCCCCGAGGATAGGCCTATCATGTTCGACAGCTGCAGGCTGGCAAACACAAGTATGGTCGTCTGCATTGCAAAGGTAAGTGGATTAGATGGCTGCATTGTGGTGCAGTCACCGAGCCCACCCTAAATAGTCTCTCGTATACAACCTTACGGCCGTGAGGTTGTATACGAGGGACTATCCCCAGCGTATTTTCCTCCACCGCAAGAGATTTTCGCCACACCACACGGCGCTTAATTCCACCGTGTTATTCAAACCTCTCCTGTGGCCTTACCCGCTAGGATGGGGCGGTGCTGTGGAAACTTCGTATGGCGGCGCTTACTCCGTCAGTCACATATGCTGGGCCACAACATTTGCATAGACCATTTGGGGATATTTGCTCATTCTGTACACTGTAGCGTCCACGGCTACAATTAAACATTTGCACTGAACATACCCTGACTTGAAGCAGATACAATGGCGCTAACTGAGAGCAGTGGGCCTCCATCAGATGAGGCTCCCAGACTAGGATGTGCGGCTGTATGGGCCTCACCTTGTTTATAGGGGAAAATATGTTTATTTTTATAGGGAAAACTGGCTTCCAACAGTATATATAATTGTGTGCCATTCGGCGCACTTTCGAAAAAAAAAACAATGTTCACTTACGATGAGTGCCTTAATCAAGTTATCAGTGTCTCTACAATAGAGATGTGTTTAGAACGGTTAACATTTAGCTTGCGAAGAAATAATTGATGAAGCGATTCAATTGGGCTAGCATAGCGCGATTTTCAAATGTCAGTAATCCGGCCGATTCGAATAAAGCACTTGGAGAGTCTGAGTGGATACTCATTGAAAATTAACCCAATCGGTTTCCTTTGCACTCCCTCTGTGATGGTTAATATTTGTTAGTAGATGGAAATCAAGCTGGAGTAGCATGATATAATACTGATCTATGTTTGAAGCTGCTATGTTATAGGTATGCCATCAGAAGTTTCAAAGAGCAGTAGGTGACCGTCATGGCTGTGAAAATGGAATCAAACTACTTATTCAGTACGTTAGCTCTTTTTCCATCTTTCAGCGCTGACTCCGCACTGGGGTTGGGATGTGGAAAAATGTAATGCCAGAATTTTCGCTGAGAAAACTTCAGAAAGTATCGAGGGTGTTACGAAAGTGATATTGTTAGCTGTTTTCACTTTTGCCTTTATAATGTTTATTGATATCGTGAGCGAGTTCTTGCTATTTGGCTGGGAATTCGTTCTCAAGTGTTCTCTTAGCCTATTAACCAGTGTTGTGGATGATGTTACGTGTAACCCAAGGATTACGTCCATTTGTATTTTTTGTACGAAAGGGTACGTATGTATGAATGCAGATATATATATATATATATATATATATTATATATATATATATATATATATATTATAATATATATATATAATATATATATATATATATATATAATATATATATATATAAGGGAAAGAAGTGTATACCTAAGGGCTCGTTTTTCCGTGTTTTAACACAATATCAATGAGATCTAACAGACAGTAATGCCAAGGAATGTACAGGGGAAGTTATTTGAACCAATGAATGTAAGTAAGAAGAAAGAAAAGTGGATGAAAAATAACCAGCCGTGAGCAGGAATCGAACCTACCACCTTCGAATAACGCGTTCTATGCTGTAACTACTGAGCTACCACGGATTTTTCTATTCAGTACCGCTTTTTGGACGTTCGGTGGTAGCAGCCTGTGTCAACAGCGGTACGCATCACATCGATGTCAGTGCAGAAGTGCAAGTGAGTGACAGTGCTTTCCCATTTTGTGCCAAGATTGGCTCCCCATTTCAATGCCATCGACTCTCTGTCTCGCTAGAATGCATGGTACGAAGTGCATACGCCAAAGCTGAGATCCCACACCACAGCAAAGACGGAATTAATGGCTCAGTTTAGGTCGAGTCACTGAGGTCGCCATATTTCGTGACACACCCTAGGTTGTAGCGACTGGCCTGTGATGGCACTAGAAGCTCAGAGAAAGATGCAGAAGCATCTACAAAACTAGACAAAAGAAAAACAGCAGAACTTTACATGCGCGGCTTTAATGACAAAGCTGCTTTATGGAGAGCGACCTTAACGACTCTTTTGGGGAGTTAAATATAGGACTGCAACACTGCATGAAGCAATACTTTATTTCTGCTTAGTACATGCTTAGTATCTGCCGCATTGAACTGGATAAATTTCTTGTATTTTTTTCCCTTTTAGTACATGGAGCAAATGCTGCTTGAATTCTATGACGAGGCTCGAAATAAGAATACCTTGGTCCTGATGGCATGTGGATTTGGCAGCATTCCCGCCGAAATGTGTCTCTGCTTCATGCGAAAAAATTTCCGAGGTGAGTCATTGCATCGCACTTTCACTTCGCTCATTTGCACTCACTCCTAGTAAGCTATATGGGAAAGTTGCTGTTGTGACAAATGAAGGAAAAGAAATTTCATTAGTTTCATGATACTTATACGAGCCCCTTGTTCTCAAACCCGTAGTCCACAGGCCACATGCGTCTCGCGGACATCTCCCTCGCGGCCCTGGCTGGCCACGATGGTCTTCGTCCCGTGTGTTAAGGCGATAGTGTCAAGAAGTTCGTTTCGCGAAAATTAAAGAGCTCATTTTGTGGCCTGCGCGTCGTTAGTTGTGAGCAAAAAAGTTTATCTTATAGTGTGTCACTATAACTAGAGAAAGCTGCGAATAAAGTAAATATTCAAATTTATCTGAACCGGGCGAGGATTGACCTTAGGACGTTTGCGTAACAAGCAGGTATTCTATCACACAGCCAGGCGTTTGCTTGGAAGTGCAGTTAAAATACCTTTCTCTGCTTGGAAATTAAGTGAAAATAACCCTAATGCTTTACCAAAACACACGTTTTGCATAAATGCCTCACAGTACATCGAACAACATCGCAGCATTATTGTGTGGTACAAGCATCTAGCTTACAGACATGTGATTATAATAACGACTTGATTGTTTGAAGCTAGCCACCTATTAAAAAAACTATACACGTTGCGGCACGTATTCCTTTAATGCCACACAATGGGTTCTCTCTAAGTTTGGGAAGATATCAAGCGTATTGCTCGTATACTGCGATTAAACATGCAACCAACGGAATGTCGCCATATGCGAAAGTTTCACTGACAGAAGCCGCTTTCAACTTCACCGAGTGCATTGTGGTGATCCACAATTCGTACTGCTCGAGTAACACTATGCAATAGAAAGTGTTCCAAAAGTGGTTGAAGAATGCTTTAGGGTCAGAATATCGCTTTCGGGTTCAGCTATTAAAGGCGAAATTTAAGGGTCCTGCAATTTCTTTTTTTGGTAAGTATACGGTATCTGGACAAGTTTCCGAACCGACTTTGAAGATGCTTTCACTAGCGTAGTGTGCATTGGAAAGGCTGTGACATTACTCGGGATGATGGTGCAGTTCCCGAATTAGACTGATTTCACGTCAATGACCCTAAGGTGGCCGTAGAAAACAAAGTCAATTTCCTCATCTGAGGAGAAAAAGAAAAGCTCTTTATTTGGCTGATGCATGATTGAACATAGCGTGTCCTGGAGTTTTTCGTGAAAATGACAATTTCAAAGACAATATTCGATGGTGTCACATTAAAAAAAACAATACGGACACGTTGCGAGGGCCTGTTGACCAGCATGAACTAAGCGAACAGTTTTCTCAGCGATAATTAGGGCCATTAGAGTTGCTTTGACGTCTCAGCATCTGAACTACGTGGTAGTCACGGACGGCAATAAAAACTTTCAAGGCCTTCGCACATGATCGCTAGTTTTCGACGTCGCGTGCCTCAAGGCATCTGATACGTGTGAGGGAACACTATACCAAACGTCTTACTTTCTTTATTATTGTTATTATTGTTCCTGTGCCAGCATTTTTGCTTTTTCATTGTTTCCTTTAACGCAAAGAGACTATGCTTTTTCAGGGCGGGGGGGGGGGGGCAATGCCACGCTTTCTTACTTTTGTATTTTCCTATTACCAACCGGCAACCGGTGACACTTGTAAGCACTACTTCGCGCGCACTGTCCCGGGCGGGGTGTGTAACATTTTTGTTTCGATTGCGTAATTGTTGTGATATTTATTTTTATTCTTTCGATTGTTCTGATTAGCTTCAGTACCTAATGCGAACAAGTGGGATTTTTCTGAAACAATAGTCTTCAGTACCTAACGAGAACAATTGGGATTATTCTGAAGCTAACACGGTCACCAACGTTAAGGCTGGTATTTTCGTTCCGGACAGTGTCAGCGTCTGGGCAAGTATGGTTCTTGCTGTGATAGTCCTCTTTTCCATCACAGTTTAACGCTAAGGTCCGCCTTACGTACAAAACCTGGACAAGAACGTACTTCGGAAAAGTTTCGGAGCTGCTCCATGAGAAAAAGCGACGGCGGTGGCGGATTTGCGCTTTTCGACGTACATAATAAGTATGCACAGGCTTTGTTTGAAGTAGTTTCACATGGTTACTGTTTTCCTACGCTTTCAGCGAACGCTACTACATTTACAGTTTACCGCGTCTTCTGAATTCTGAAAGCTACTATGCACTTTATGATGTTCTTAGTGATGAGATACGACGCATTTCTGTTATTTAGAGTACAATATTATTACGAAGAAGCATACTTGCAAGTGGAAACCAAGGCAAGCTGGAGAAGTGGAGAACGATGACGCTGCTTCATGATCACCATGGTCTTTCGTTCTTCCGCTCTCATTAAACTTCTCCTTTAAACCTTTCCTTTGCGCATAACACATTGGTGGAAGGTGGGTACGATGAACCCGACGATGGAAGCACTACTACCTAGACTTCACCGCAGCCACCGCCTTGCCAGACTACCGCCATCGCCTATCGAGATGTCCCAGAACCAGGACCCCGGTGCTTCGATGGCGATACCGATGGGCTCCCTGCCATACAGCCGGGTTACACCGAACTTTTGTGGGACGTCTGCCGAAGACGTGGGCGACTGGCTGAAGAAATATAAGACGGTAAGCAAAACATTGCTAGGACACGACAGAAAAACTCAGCCATGTTTTCACTAACTGACACAGCTCTCGGGTGTCACAAAGACATGTTCACATCTTGGGATTGTTTTGCTGAAGAATTAAAAAAGTGCTTTGGAGTATCCACCACGAAGGAGAAGTGGGTGGAGCAGACATTGGCTCAGAGACGCAGCTTCCATGAGAGACATGTACCGCGTACATTGAAGAAATATTGAAACTGTACTACAGTGAATGCCAGGATGGCTGAAGAGCATGAAGTTGGACACGTTTTTAAAGGTACGGCGAAAGATAATAATTTTTAATCGAAAAATAGATCATGACCACTGTGTCCGACGTTGTGAAGCATTGTCACGCATTCAAAATGCTGAAAATGCGACAAATAGCACCGAAACTTGGCCACATCTCTAACATCCTTACGGTGGCTAGTGCCGACACCATTTCGGCAGATGACCTCGCGTCGATAATTCGGCAGATTGTAAGAGAATTGCTCCGATGTCAGTAAATCTCCCACGTTCCTAAAGGCGCTAGCGACTTTCAGGACGGCTGCGTGCGAGGCCCACAACCCACACAAACTCCAGCTTCTCTAGCTCCATGGCAGCCAATGGCTAACTCGGCACATCCCAAAGAATCGTGCGGAGGCACACGGCAAACTTTTTTTTGTACCGACAGCCCTACAATGACGAACGACGCTTGCATCCACCTTTTTTCTCTCAGCGGATATCGGCTGGCTATGGTGCCCATGATGGGCGTTACTACCCCCCCTAAGCCTACTCAGAGGACTGGTTACTCTGAGCAGCCGCAAGCGTCTCGACCTCTGCCTGTGTGCTACAGCTGTGGTGTCTTGGGCCATATTGTCACGTAGCCGCGACGATGAAGGAACGTGCACGATAGGAGCGGGAGCAAGCCGCAACAATCTTTCATTTCACTGGGCTGACCTGCGCCCGAAAGAAACCAGTGAACCGCCGTACAGCTGGCGAACTATTACACCGGTGCCCACGGCTGCCCTCGGCTTATTCGCGAGGAGCGTTTTCCGATAAAACGCGGCACAAAAATAAGTTCACGGATCACGACTTCATGATGGAGCGCAGATACACACTAGCCATTTGCGTCACAAGCAAAGCGATAAGAATGGCAAGTGATTGCGGCATTACTCCCCTTTTAAATAAGCATCGGCCTGATGCTTAAAAGAGCAAACATTGAAAACCGAGAACAGTGTCATAAGAACACACGAAAACAAAAAAGGAAGATCAAAATTCGCAGTTGACATTGCAAACTGTATGGTCTATTACCGCGTGTAATAAGGTTTAAGGCGCACGACATGCACAAGTTCTGGGTTAGCGCGGCGCCGTTGCGGTGTCGTCGCGCCATCGGGGACAACTTCATAGTCCAGTTCACTAACACGATGTATGACCTTGTAAGGTCCAAAATAACGGCACAACAACTTTTCGCTGAGTCCTCGGCGGCGAATGGCGGTCCAAATCCACACGCGGTCACCGGGTTTGTATTCCGTATGGCAGCGGCGTAAGTTGTAGCGTCGAGCGTCGATGGACTGCTGTTCCTTATTCCGCAGGCGTGCAAGTTGTCGGGCTTGTTCGGCACGTTGAAGGTTGGTGGCGACGTTGAGGTTCTCTTCTGTGACATCTGGGAGCATGGCGTCCAACGTTGTAGCTGCCTCTCTGCCGTAGACGACGCTAAAAGGCGTCATGCGTGTGGTCTCTTGTATTGCAGTGTTATAGGAAAATACGACGAATGGAAGGATGCTGTCCCAGGTTTTGTGTTCTGCATCGACATACATGGCAAGCATGTCAGCGATAGTTTTGTTCAGCCGTTCTACGAGGCTGTTTGTCTGCGGATGATACGCAGTAGTCTTCCGGTGGCTGGTTTGACTGTGGTGCAGAATAGCTTGCATTAGCTCTGCCGTGAACGCTGCTCCCCTGTCCGTGATGAGGACCTCGGGGGCACCGTGTCGCAACAGGATGCAGTTTACAAAAAACTTTGCGACCTCCTCTGCTGTTCCATTCGGCAAGGCTTTTGCTTCGGCATAACGGGTGAGGTAGTCAGTTGGTACGATTATCATTCTATTGCCAGAAGTTGATGTCGGAAAGGGACCGAGAAGGTCCATTTCAATCTGTTGGAAAGGCTTTGCTGGGGGTGGTATGGGGTTCAGCAGGCTGACTGGCCTGGTCGGTGGCCTCTTTCTTCGTTGGCATTCACGGCAAGTCTTTACGTACCGCGCGACGTCGGTGGGCAGTCGTGGCCAGTAGAATTTCTCTTGGATTCGGCGAAGAGTGCGCGCATATCCAAGGTGTCCAGCAGTCGGTTCGTCGTGGGAAGCCTGTAGAAT